AAACCCAGACTGGGTTGGGTCTGGGTTGGGTCTGGGTTTTACTGGGTCGTGCGGAAGACTAATCGTGACAGGACCCCATAAAAGGTTCCTGTCTCGCAGGTTTCTTTCTTTCTTTCTTTCTTCTTCTTTCTCTGTACTTAGTATTCTCGTTGAAATGCACTCTTTTGTTTAAAGAACTGGCTGGTAACATAGCCTATAAAAGTCTACCCTACAAAGATTCACCACCTCCATAGTGACGGTGTAGAGATCTACATAATTTAGACCTAAAGAAATTTAGCACTCTATGTCCACCATATATTGCTTTACTCTTGAATTCTTTGTTCGAAGGTCACGTGATTACCACTGTTTGCTCGAGCCTCCCAGTACTTAGTCTCAGTCATAGCATGTAGATAGTTTCTCTCTCTCTCAACGCATCAAGAGATTTCCAGTTACATCTACATTCATTGTAGATCTCTAGTATCTCTAACAGGTTATGAGCCTCGCTCTTTCGAGTCCTCTACATAACTGCACAGACTCGAAACCCTGTTTTTCCTCCCATTGGTGTACTGCGTCGCACCACCTCACTGTGGAACCTCTGTGGTCTCGTTTTGACCCCGAAAATCAGAGTTTTCATCACCCTATTGGACGAGATTAACACCTCGCCTACCCCTTGGGATCTTCATCCATTGTAGGTGGATCCTACCTCGTCGCCGTCAAATCACGTCGCCGACAACCCTCGACAACCCGAAAATCGGACCGTCGAACCCCACATTCCACTCGCTACCCGCTGTAGCGAGCCAATCACATACCTCTCTTGACGAGCACATCGGTGCGGAAGAAGACGTCATGCAGGCCTCATACAATATTGAGGACTTTACCATCAACAGCCATGAGATTGACATCTCATCTGCCGTCCCAAAATTGGAGGGACAATCCAACTTCAGAGACTGGGAAACCGCTCTCTACATAGCTCTTGCAGCTAACAACCGTTACTACACATTCATGATTTCTAATGGGATCCCAATCCCAAGGATCCCCGAGTATCAGGACTCCAGTCCTGAAGCTGTTCGCAATCTTCTTAATGAAGAAGCTCAGGATCTTGCAGGTGATCAGACTACAACTGTTGTCATCTCTGTTGCTGAAATTCGTGATCGTGTGAAGCAAGTCATCGAGTCAAACATAGTACTCCGAAAAGAGTATAACTTGAAATGTACAAACAGGGATCTGTGCAATTCGAGAGCGAATCTCTTACTAAGAGGCACTCTCTCTCCAGAGCCTTTTTTTCATATCGCTCAAAACACTGATGTACGGGACTCATTTAAGAAACTGCGTGCGACGTACGCTGTTACATCCCATCAACATTCATTCGCCCGCTATACCAAGTGGACTGATCTTCGCTTGAAGAATGGAACTGCTAGCGAGTTTGTACGCAAGTTCCAGGAAACTCTTCGTGATCTCACATCTATTGATGGCAAGATAAACTCGGCATATGTACCATGCCAGTTCAAGAAAGCCATTAATGAAAACCCCAAGTGTTATGCATTTCTCCAGAACCTTAGGGTAGATGAGAAGGATGTCAATCTCATGGATCAAGTCTACGCCGAATTCCTCGAGGTAGACATCCATAACCGGTCTATGAACCGGCACCCTGATCTGGTTAATGGTCTTTACCAGGCCAGATATCTCATTTGCTGTTATTAAGATGGCTAAACATGCCAAGAATCCTAGCGACGTACATTTTCAAGCCCTGAAACGTGTTTTTCGCTACCTCACCGGCACCAAGTTACTCACGATCTCTTTCTACCCCAGCATGCAAGATGCAGCTGTATGTGGATACTGTGATGCCGATTGGGCTGGCCCACACAGTGAGAAAGGACTTTCCACATCCGGCTTCTTGTTCAAAATGGCTGGTGGAGCTATTTCTTGGACGTCAAAAAAGCAACCCTGTGTCGCTCTCTCTACAACAGAGTCAGAGTACATTGCCGAATCCCTCGCAGTACAAGAGGCGATCTGGTTAACACAGCTGCTTACGGAACTTGGAATTGAAGGGTTTCTTAGGAAGCCAATCCCCATTTATGCGGATAATAACGGAGCTATTGCTCTCGCTTCAAACCCGGAATTTCATTCTGCGATGAAACTCATCGCGATCCGCTTTCACAGGCTACGCGAAGAGGTTGCCGCCGGCAACGTTAAATTCGTCAAGATCCCGACTGCTGATATGGCAGCGGATGGACTGAAAAAACCCCTTGGCAAAACGCTATTCAAGCGCTGGATCATCCAAATGGGCCTCACGGTCTATAAAATCGCGCTGAATGGATAACTTACGGTTTGCATACTACAAATGGGGGGTTAATGAAGGTTTAAAACTGGGTTTTTACATGGAGAATTGGGGTTGTTTAAACTATGCTTTCGACTAATAGTGCTAGTCATGGACTCAAGGGTACTCCAAGTTATCATCGAGTAGAATTGCCATTTGCTTGTCGCAGGCCGAAAGTGGCTGCCTTCCTGCAGTCCTTCCCTTTCTGCCGGTCGTACCGCACGTGAATGCTGACTGATTGATTGGTTGGCTCTCGGTGGCCCATCGGTGTGCCTTGT